GAAGATGAAGCATCCACAGGCCTAAGCAGTCACTAGGCAGGAGGGCTCAGAGAAGCCCCGGGGGCGGAGACCAGGGACCCGGTAGAGAAGGCAGTCACCCTGAGTCTCACACGAAGGGCGCCAATGCTTGGTCTTCGGTCTTCTTACCCCGCACAGAGGTAAGAAGAGATAACCAGATGCAGAGATAGCTGAAGCTGTGGGGTCCCCGCCCCTGACACCGGTCGTTTCTAATTAACTCAAAGGAGGAAATCTAAAAGTCCTCTGAAGTTCCAAGGAGCTGCGTCTGCTGATCCTTCCCTGCCTCGTTCCAAATAGGAAGATTCACTCCACCCTGCCCAAACTAACAGGCTTCTGGGCTCTCATCAGCTGGTACTAAACTCAGTTGTTACTTCACCGTGAAGCCCTAGCTGCCTGATTTATTAGGAACCACTCACAGGAGACTATGTGGAAAAATCTGACCAGTCGCGGGGTATCTGTCTATCTATCCATCTCAGTGTTTGTCTGCAATGGGACATTTTAGGGAGCGTTTGGCAGGCCTCTACCTCACTAACCTAAGAGGGTTCTGGAAATTCCCCAGGTACTTTAGTATCATGGAAGGTAGACAAATACATCTTGTATAGAACACATTCTCTACGTAGCCACTGGACCTCGGAAAAGCTACTTAGCTGTCAGTTTTCCTGTCTGTAAGATTCAAGTGATCAACAGACTACATGACTTCCAAGGCCGGAGAGTTATTTTAGATACTTCCTTTGTTGTCTTGACGAAACTAGAGTCAGGACAGAAATAGGCTGCAAAGACGGAAATTCTCCTCCAGTTTATACCGAGTGGGTCAGAGCCAAGCGGTTCATGGCTCTGCCTGCCTTGAAGGTCATCTTCACCTTTCCCTACCATTCCTGTGGCCCTACAAGACTTTTTTATTGTCACAGCCTGCTGCGTGCTTTGCCTCCCGAAATATGTAGGGTTCCTTTCTTTCTACATCACGAAGACTCATCTGTGGAAGTTTTGGCAATGACTAAGTGAGGTGGCTTTGCACATCGAGAGTACTATCCCAACTGCTGTACATGACTTTATTCTGATTAAGAAAAACTGCAATTCTTTCTCTTTTTTTTTTTTTGGAGACAGAGTCTCACTATGCAGTTCAGGTTGGACTCGAACTCACTTCATAGCCCAGGCTGTCCTCAAACTCGCAGCAATCTTCCTGCCTCAGCCTTTCAAGTGCTGGGATTACAGGAATGCGCCACCACCCCTGGCTATAACAATTGCAGTTTTCAAAGCCCTTTTTGACACCCAGGGTCTTGTCTGACTCCTGAGGACAACCTCATCTTCTAGAAAGTAACTTTGTGTAAAATATTCCTACCCATGTGTTCCTAATACACTTTAGCATGACATCTCATCAAATTCTTCCTGAGAGTTAAAAAGAAAATTCATTGCAACCTTATACAAAAGTTTACTCACCCTGGGAAAGAAATCTGGTGTGTCAGTGCAGCGTGAGTCCACTCGGGGATTAGAGCTGAAGTGGGCTTTAGTGCTCGTCTGTCCCACCCTCCCTGACCGTGAGCTCCTGTTCACAGGGACAAAATCTGCGTGTCCCCGGGGGCCTTGTTGGCTCTGCTCGGTATCTTCTCCTGGTCCCCTTGCACGAGCACTTTTTTCTTTCTTCCAAGCTGCCCTTTGCCCAGGAGAACCACTTTTCCCTTGTTAATGAACCAGCTGCAGAGTTTGTACTCTGGCTCCAGGCCTTCCTGGGTTCCGGGCCGGCTGTCACAGAACCTCCTGGTCCGCCCACCAGCCAGCAACTGCTGTCTCGTCTTCCTGCTAATTAATGTCCACATCTAATCAGACTGGCCTGTCCCTGAAGAGTGTAACTGAGTCACAGGTGCACGGCGTTGTCTTATGGAACCTCCCCGTCCCGCCCAGGCCGGAGTGCTTGGGGCTTACTCACCGCTGCGTGGTGATCGGCCCACCAGAGCAGGCCTGGGTCAAATCCCGCTCTCCACTTACAAAACCTCAGCTCCAGGACCTGTGGCCCTGCTCAGAGCTCTCAGGGAGAGGTGGGGACCCCGCAGTGGGGAAGAGCTGGGGCACTGCGGCCAGCCAGAAGCGCTCCCAACCAGGACTGCAGCTTCCCAAACTCAGGTTCTAAGACTAGAATAAGAGTAACAGGACCCACTCCCCAAAGTGTTGTGAAGATTCATCGATCTAATGTAATAATGTACGTAAAGTGCTCGGTCCCCGGTGAGAGCCTGTGAGAGTCACCGCCCAAACTTGGGGGCAGCAAAGCCCCTGATGGCACCCCAGAGTGACGTCACTGACAACCTCTGGGCTCAGAAGAGGTTCCGTGGCTCGCTGTGTTCTGCACAGCGCCAGAAGGAGCCGCAGCAAAACCGCGTCCCACCCCAGTCCTAAGGGGTCAGAGGCTAAGGACAGGGCCCGCGGAGGCCTCCGGCTGGAGAAGCACTGCTCTGTGGAATCGTAGCTCATCTGTCATGCTAAGTCTTCCATCACTCCCGAGATGGGCGATCCACAGACCCCAGCAGGACCCCCAGTGTGAATTCACCCCCCAGCCTGTGACAGTACCACGATGTCTGGTCAGCACACACCGGGCCGTTCCCACCACAGGAAGCGCAGGAGACTCCAGTCGGTAAATGCATCTCCGGTTCACGACAGCCCCGCCGACAGCCGCGGAGTGATAGAGCCACTGCCCAGCTCCACGGCGCACACCCGGCCGGCCGGCTTTACCCCAGTAAGGTTTGCGGACTTTGTAGTCCGGTTCCAGCATACTGGTTTCTCTGCCTCCTTGAACCTTGGTTCTGTCTCGCAGCGTTTGTCTGTCCAGCTGCTCTCGTTCCTGCGGAGGAATTTACCTGATCCCCCTCCACGCTGCCACCCAAGGTCAGCCTGCTGACTCTGGGAAGGTGGAGGCAAGAAGTGATCGCCATTAAACCCTGACTCACGTGCCTCTGGGCTTTCTTCTGATTACTCAGGCTCTGAGGGAAAATCACACCCCTTGGCCCGCTGAAGTCACAGCTTAGAAAGGACAGACTGCCGAAGAGAGAGCAGAGGGTTGGCTCTTCTCACCCCACCGAGGACGGGGTGTGGTGGACTCAGGATTTGGCTGGGGCCTGTGACCACAGGGAGGATTTTTGCTTCATCTTTAACGTAAAAACCACCGACTTCCAGCAAGGATTTCCCCAGCTGGCCCGCATGGCTCAGGCAGGGAGACTGGGAAGTGGGGTTGCCTCATTACCAGTGAAACCGACAGAAGAGAGAATGGGGGACCTCCAGGCCTGCCCCAGAAGGCTGGCCACAAAGCTTACACTGACAGCCCAGAGGCAGGAAGACGGGGCTCCGCGGGGACCCGCCGAGCACGTGGCCGCATCCCAGGGAAAACGTGGCCTGGAGGGTTCCGGTCAGTAACCACCAAGGCTCCTGCGCAAGCTGTTGGACAGACAGGACCCCTCCCGGCTCTTGAGCTCTGCGTGGTGGGGGCTCGGACAAGGCCTCTCGGGTGGAGCAAAGCCAGATTCGCTGGGGTCTGAAGTTGAGGCAGTTTGGGCAGATGGAGAGGAGACGCTCTTCCTAAGAAAAATTATACAAAATTGAGTGTCGAAGTATAGAAGCTGCCTTGCATGTGTGGGGCTAAAGGTTAAATTTAATTTGGTGCAGAGTGAATTATCTCTACCCAGACTCCACCTTGCCAAGGCTGTTCTGGATTCTAGATTTTTTTTAATTGATTCCCCCTCCTGCACAGAAACATGTTTCCGACGCTGAATGACTTTCCATCCTCCCCATCACCTTGGTGAAATACTTTTTTATTTGGAGATAGGGTCTTGCTGTGTAGCCCAGGCTGGCCTTGAACTCATGGTGATCCTCCTGCTTCAGGCTCCCAAGTGCTGAGATTATAGGCATGTGTCACTATGTCTGGCTTTTTATTTTTTAATTAAAAAACACCTCTGTCCTGGGGAATGTCTTTAAAGAAAAGGGAATTATTTCATATGTACAAATACAGAATCCAACCTTTTAAAACTTATTTGCTTTATTTTTCAGGTAGTATTTTACATGGTATATTGTCCAAAAGGTACAAAATGTTATAGTGATAAGTCTGAGTAACTTTCATAAACCTTTTTAATAAAATGTAGTTTCCTACTTAGAAAAGTAATTCATCCTTAATACAGAATTTGTAAAAGCAGTTGCATCCATTTACCTATAAAAGACTCCATTTTATTCAAAAGAAAGAACAAACTGTGATGGGGAAGGGGAAAGGAAGAAAGGGAAAAAGGAAGAAATACGTACACACAAGATAGTTAAGATAGTTACACACCTAGATTCTCTTAGATCATTAAAAAGAAGTTTTGTGCTAATATCACATAGACAAGATGTTACATCTATATCTTCTGCTCTGAATAACTACTAGGAAGACAGCAATGCACAATGTATCAATTATGTAACTGTCCTACTAACCGGTTTTGAAACTCAGTTGCATTGTTATATCTTTTTTTTTCTGGTTTTTTTTTTTTTAATTTTAAAGAATAAAAGAAGGATAACATAATAATAGGGGGGACTTAGCAAATTACAGACAAAATGGTAGGAAATTATCAATGGTTATCGTTTTACATATTATTATCTACAAAATAGTTTCTCAGGAAAACAAATAGACAAATAATAGTGAGTTAGAGACAAAAGAGGTAGGAGATTATCAAGAGTTGTTGTACTATACTTTGGTATCTTCAAAGTGGCTTCTAAAGAAAATAAATAGAGCTATACATGAGTGACCTATTGAAAAAATCATTAACTAGTCTCAATGGTTGTTGTAGGAAACACATAATAATAAACATACATCCATTTATGAAATAGGATAGGAACATTACAAACTTTACACAGTTATGGATAGATTAGTAGGAAAATATCAGTGGCTGCTGTAATACGTGGTGGTATCTTCAAAGTGGTTTCTCAGGAAGACAGAGATATGCAAGAAGGATCTAATAAGTAGTTACAGCCTAAGGGTTGTCAAAAATAGCTTATTACCTCCTCACAAGTTGTATCTTTTTTTCTCTTTAAAAAAAGAATCTGTAAAAGCAAAAGTGCAGAAAGAATCACGTGTGACCCTGCTACCTGAACCTGCAGCGTGAGCTCCTTCTAAACCCTTCCCTCCGATGTGAGAGGTGCAGGTGGAGATGGGTCCTTTCTACTTTTTATCTTCCTCACGCTTCACGCTTAACTCCTTACACCTAACATCTAACAACGTGCCAATCTTTTCAGCAGTTGGTGGGAAATAACTTCCACAACGAGGCACAGTAGGATTGGGCGGGGGGCGGATTACAAGCTTTTGAGATTCAGGGAAGCCTTGGACCAACCCAGCGATCTAAGGTCTAAGCTAAAGATGATGAGCAGTTGTCAGCCCAACTAGGACTCTGTCCTCTCAGGAATGGCTGCCGCGCAGAGACAAACTGTACAATGATCGGATGCTGCTATCCATTAGTCATGTCTGTCATGGCCTTGGGCGTAGGCAGGGGCAGTCTGAGTGCCACACACATCCTAGTGATGGAGGGGACAGAAAATGGAGATGTATCCTAGAGTCAGTGCTCCAAAAGTGTGACTCAGCTGAAGGAACCGTTCAGCCAAACAGAAATGTGTGGCCGTTCAGCCTTCACTGTGCAGAGACTGAGAAAGGGAAGTCACAGCAGTCCCCAGGGGTCCAGCCACAGTCCCTCATCTGAACGCCTCCTGGTCCCACGGAAGCACCGCCAGGGCAGAGTCCTCTCGCTGCTTTCCGCATGCCCCGCCAAGCCGCCCTGTCCCAGCTGCGACCTTTCCAAACGTGCGGAGTGTAATCGCACACTTGGGCCTCAGAGACGTCAGGCAGCACACTCGGCCTTTCCAGCATCTGCTGAGAACCTGCTCTGCCCTTTGTATCTGCAGATGAAAAAGAGACCCAAGCCCTTCACTCGAGGGGCTCATGACATGCGGAAGAGGGAGCGCACATCCATAAATAACTATAATTAAATGACAAATTACGGAACTCTTAAAGTTATAAATTTAAAATATAATTAAATCATCATCATTATTTAAATTAGAAATAATAAGAGCAGCTGAGTGTCAGGCACAGAGCTCTGCGTTTTCCTTGCATGCTGGTTTTCATATCACCTTTACACCAAGCGTGAGGGTCACAAAGCACTCGTCTCCATTTTGCAATTAAAGGAGTGGGGCCTGGGACATGTGAGCCATGCACGGGTCAGTGGAGACACCAGCGAGGCGGAGGAGGCGGTCCCAAGCCGGGCGTGATGGGGGAAAGGACGGGTCTGTGGTAACTCTGTCCCACGGCCGCCACCTGCCCGCCAGCAATGGCAGAGGGGAGCTGGCAGCACCGCAGTCAGAAGGAAGTCACGCGCCCCAGGGTTCCCCCAGGTCGGGGGATCAGAGCAGGGAAGGTGGCAGGGCCCGGGTCCCTGTATTTCCTCTGTTCCTTCTTCTGGAGTGGGCTTCCTGTCCCCAGAGAGAGGCAGAGGGACCTGTCAGGGAATCAGGAAATGCTTTGTCTAAAAATACAGCCTCTGTGGAAGGAAAACAGTCATTAGAGGGCGTGAGGAGCCCCCATGGTGAAGAAAACAAGCAGTGAGACCCACAGGGGGCCGGTGGGTGTGAGAAGCCCGTCCCCACCCACTTCCTGCGCCGCTCATGAGGGACACAGGCAAAACCGGAGCCAGCTCTCAGGGAGGGGTCCAGAGCCGGGGTCTGGGCTGCAGCAGGGAGGTGGGCGGGAAGAAGCCGTCCCCGCTCCTGTCCCCGCTCCTATCCCCGCTCCTATTTCTCTGGTGCCAGCGGGTCCAGCAAGGGGTTTGGTCTGTATTTCCTGTGAACTTGCTGCACGGCAGGCACAGCCAGGGCTTCAGGGGCGCCATGTACGGAAATCCTTCCAACAACAAGAGGAGAGGGAGCCGAGGGGCCGGGCAGCATGTCCTAGGTCACACTGCCGGGAGGGACAAAGCCAGGTCCGCCCCAGGCCCCCGACCTGCACCGAGTGCAGTGACCCGGGCCACCTCAGGACGATCTCACTGCCCAGCCCTGGACAGGTTGGGCTGTCAGCTCCGACTCTCGCGGCAGGCCACGGTGGTTTCCCACCCTTTATCTTGTGTGGAGGCAAAGCCGGTAAAGGGAACACGCCACGACTTTTGTTTATGACTCACGGTCAGCAGGGTCTGGTCACAGCCACACCGGACACAGCTGGGAAGGTGCGCGCTTGGATGGGAGGGTCACAGCTCAGCCACGTGACCCACAGTCCCCTCCGTGGGTTGTGAAGGAAATGGCCGTTCTCCATGTCCCGGGGCTGGAGCAGAGGAAGAGACACAGTGCTTGGGTACCGGCCGCTGAGGAGCCCATCCTCTGTGCCTGGAGCACAGCTGCGACCTTTCCAAAGGTGCGGAGTGTAATCGCACACGTGGGCCTCGCCGACCTCGGGCCGCACGCTCAGCCTTCCCAGCATCTGCTGAGAACCTCTCTGCCCTTTGTATCTGCAGGTGAAAAAGAGACCCAAGCCCTTCACTCGCAGCCCTAACATGCGGAAGAGGGTGGAGCCAGGCCTCTCCTCCGGCAGCTGGGTGAACTGAGGCTGACGCAGTGATCCGGGGTCAGTCCTTCGCACTGTGGGCCTTGCGCACGGGGTGCGTTGTAAGCGACAGGGATACTATGCACAGGAGTTTGCAGAAGCCCTGCATGCCCAGGCCAGCCCCGTGACCTCTGGGCAAGCTTCGCAGCCTCCTGTGCCTCGTTTCCTCCCCTGTGACGCACGGCTGAGGCTTCCTTCCAGGAAGGGTGATGGTCAGAACCGAAGGGCGGCGCAGGTCTGCGGCTCCCTCCGAGCACTGGAAAACGTTCTATGCGCCGCAGTCGGCAGTGCGCGGGGACGTTTGCGGGGTCGCTGTTTGCGGGGCTCACCCGGCTCGGCCTTGCTGTTTCCCTTGAGCTGCTTGAGCTCCTGTGCCAGGGCTCTTGCTGCCCTTTGCGACAATCGGCTCATCCTAGCCGGCCCACGTGCCTCGTTTGCGAGCAGCCCGTCTCAGAACCCGCCAGGCCTGCAGCGTGGCGGCGTCACACGGGCCCCGTGACGGGCTGCCCACCCCCGCTCCAGCCTTCAGGCGCTGGGTGTGCAGCCTAGGAGCCTTTCTTCCAGGGAGGACGCTGCTCTCTCTGGGTTGAGTCTTCGGGAAGGGGGCGGTAGATACCCGCTCCTGAGCCGGTGTGAGCCTCCATAAGCCTAAGAGAAGGGAAGGAAGGAAGCCAGGGAGGGGACGGCCTTACCTGAGGGCTGGAGCCCGCTGTGACCCGGGGGAGGGACTGGAAGGGCTGAGAGAGAAAAGGCGGGCGGGGCTCACTTTTGTTCAGAGGGCAGGAGACTGAGCACAGGGGCAAAGGAAAAGGACTGAGTTCACCCTGCCGGCCCCAGAGACTCAGAGATGATGGGGTAAAAGAAGAGATGCCAGTGTTTTCTGCTTGCCTTCATTTAGGGAACTGCCCGGCTGAGCAGTGATGGAATTTCGCAGCAGCTAGCGTAAAAGGCCTGATCGCCCTCCCAGGAGCAGGCCTCCGGGCTCGGTTCTTGCTGTGTCACTGACCCTAGAGCCTGGAGGACTGGCCTCATTCTTATGGAAACTTTGAGCCCCATGCAGGCGTCTCTAAGTTCCTCCACGAGGTGATCTACCTTCCTGTCCGGTTCATTCAACCTCCTCCAGCTAGAGGGGTCTGCACCCACAGTCCCCCCTCGTTGCCAGAGCTCAGCATGCCCCAAGCATCACTCATAACTCCACCACCACTTGCTGTGCCTCCAAGCATATATAGCTCACATTACTGAAGCTGAGATCCAAGCACTTCAAAGCTCTTTTTCATTTAATCCATTAACTACCCTATTGTGGAAGTATTACTGCAACTTAGTCCCATTTTACAGATGAGAAACTGAGGATGGAGAAGTCATGCAAATTGCCCAAGGTCATTTTGGTCAGAGTCACTTCCCGGCAGCCTTGCCAGCAGCTTTCTTTTCAGGCCCTGACCCACCTTACCCTGCAAGAATCTCAGCAAACTGGTTTTATAACATTCACAGGACCATAGCTCAGCAGCCAGACCAAGCATGGTTCTGAGTTTTTAGTTGCATTTCCCGGTGCTGAGATGAAATACCCAATACCCCAAGTTAAAGGGGAAGAGGTTTATTTGGCTGACGGTTTGTAGAGGTTTCAGTCCATGGTTGGCTGGCTCCAAGGCAGGGTGGCCTGGCAGAGAGGCATCGCAGAGGAGAAAGAGTTCATGGCTAAGCAGGGCAGGCAGAAGACAGTAAGCAGCAAGTCCAAGTGACCTTAGCAGGTTTTTTCCTGCCCCTTTTATAGTCTGTCTAGGCTACTGGGCTTAGGGTAGGTGCCAGACCAATTAGTGGGCTGATCTAGTAACCACCCACCCTTAAGCCCACATCACGCACTGTAGATCCAGCCACCTCTGAAAAAGCCCCACCTATGACCTCATGAGGCTTTAGGGGACATCTAGACAGAAGCCATTACAGTGAGAAAATGTTCATCAGACTACAGAGTGAAGGTAACTTGCACAAACACGAAAGGGACACTGTCAGCAAAGATCCATTAAGCACTAATAGTACGACTTATATTCTGATGGTCTCTGAACCCTAGAACTGAAGCCAGGGGCCATGGGACATTCAGATACTTGATGAATTCCCACTTTCCAGCTTGTGAGACCAGCCTTCCAGGGCTGATCTTCAGCCTCTTAGCAGCTTCTTTGCTTATTATTGCTTGGCAAACAATGTGATTTATGCGTGAGACGCACACATTAAGATGCAGTGTAGTTATTCCAACTGTCATAACGACTAAATTGAATTGAATAGCAATCCACTGATAACTCAAGCTCTGCAGGGGAAAAAAATTCAGCCTGAAAATAACCAGTTCAATAGTACTGTAGAGACATCGCTGGAAACAGCTGTGGAAACGGGAGGAGAGGCGATGTCACGGCTGTCATTCCTGAGGCACGGTTGTGGGGTTCTGTGCGGAGAGGAAGGCCACTGGGATGTGAAGCTAATTTGCCCAAACAGAATTCCTAATAAATACCTTTGATTGTTCCTTTTGTCTCTATCTTTTACTAAAGACAGGCAATTAACAGCGCTTGCAATATTACAAGCAAATGAAATTGGGTCTCTGTCCAGCCTGCCTACAAAAGGCTTCTGCAGCAATAAAAATAATCAATTGCATTCTTCTGTTTCTTCTAGGTCTGTGTGATTACCTTAATAATGTCAGTGCAGACTGTAATATGCGGGGAGAAAAAAAATAAATAGTGCTTGTATGAGGCATGACATTCCAGACCACAGAAATGTCATCTTTTCCTACAGAATTGTTTTGTTACAGAGGAATGTGGCTCAGACAATTATAGTCCTGAGGTCTAGTGCCGGATTCATCTTGGGTAGAGAGGCCTCTGTTCTATGTCCTGGGTGGGCTTTATGTGTTTTCCCTTCTGTGTGTTTGCTCTCCAGTGCTGAGACTGGGAAAGTACAACAGTTAGGACACGAGCGCCGACATTAAACACTCTTAGTCTTCATTTGCTTCTGTATGAAAGGAGACACACAGGCGGGCGGGTTCTGAGCATCTGAGTTCCGGAGGTCCAGAGCACGAGGCAGCACATGATGCTTGTGTGATGCATGCTGGTATGTAGTCAGCACAAATCAACTGCTGCTTGAAAATTAAGATCGTGCCCGCATGGTGGCGCAAGCCTGTAATCCCAGCACTTGGGAGGCTGAGGCAGGAAGATCGTTGCAAGTTCAAGACCAGCCTGGCTACAAAGTGAGCTCAAGGCCAGCCTGAAATGCATAGAGAGACCCTGTCTCCTGAGACCGTGTCTTTCACCTCTAATATCCACCATCTTGTTAACCCAGCAAAATCTTATTGCTCTTTGAGGTGACCTCCAATTCTGCTTTGTCTGAGAAGGCTTCCCAAGATCACACCAACTGCACGTGACCTGGCTCCCAGAACTCCCGGAACAAGATTTTAGTTGGCCTCCCAAGAACTTAGGATTCGTGGCTTATTACAGTTGGTTCTCTCCTCACAAGGGATTTCAGAGCTGCCCGGTTAGATCACAGATTTCTTGGGGACAGGTCCAGTGTATTTGAATCCTGATGATCTCCACAGTTCCTGATTAAGAGCAGGACACACCACAAGATTCTCGATAAGTAGGCACAGGTTGATCAGCTAGGACACTGTCCAGTCCTGGTAGAAACTGACAGATGCTCAAGAGTTACAAGGCCCCCCAGCTGCCCCCGAGAGCCCAAGCGCCATCCCTGTGGCTCTCCACAGAATTCACTGTCTCTGAAGAGATGTGTTCCGAGTCGCTAAAACCTTCCCCAACAACCTCCCGCCTCATGGTGCGGGGATAACGAAATGCCCTCAGGGACAGGGTGCCAATAGCTCTCAAATTTTATCTTTTTTTAAAAACATGTAAATATTCATTACCAATTTTTATTAAGCAGAGTCCCTGAAACAGTTTATATAAGTACCATATTATTCACTACAATTGCTCTTTTACATTTAAACTTTTCTTTAAAAAACACAAATCTAGATCATATCATTCTTACAGTGAACCCCCAAAACTCAAGGGGTTACATTCCTAGACCTCCAGTGAATTGTGAAAAAAATGTGAATTTCAGGCGTGGTCAGAAAAATGCCTACAAATGATCTTTTTTTAGTTTAAACTCTTAATATGTCATATCTCCTACAGTTATATAACTTAATTTAATACTGTATTGACAAAGCCTTAGAAGGTGCAGGGCGATTTGGTGGCATCTTAGGGATCTCGGGGCTTTTTTGTTGTTTTTTTTCCGGGCTTTAAGAAGAACAAAACTAAGGACACTGAGATTACCACGGGGGAATGTTGGTGCATCTGCCGGGTGTGGGTGATAGGACAGCAGCCAGTCAATAGCAAGGAGAACTAAATAACACTCTGGGGTTGGCTACTTGCAAACCTTCCACCAAAAAGACACAACCTCAGAGGATACTTATGGTGCCCACAAAGTTGCAGTTTCCCTGAACGATTATTACAAAATTTAAACTGAACATACAATTTTTAACAAACTTAAAGATACACAAATATCCTTCGCAGGGTCAGGAATATAGCTTAGTGGCACAAGCACCTGCCTGGCAAGTGCAAGGGCCTGAGTTCAACTCCCAGTACCAAAAAAGAAAATAATCCTTTGCAATCGCACTTGTAAAAATGTTTATCTCACAGACTGACCTGCACATATATGAGAAGAGCTATGAACAATATTCACTGTTGGGTTCGCTACATATGTAGCAAAAGACTAGAAACAATTTACATGTTTGTTAACAAGGCGCTGGGGAAATAAAACCCGGTGCATCCATGTAGAAGAGCAGTAGGCAGCCTTCCAAAGAACACCCACATGGACTCATGTAGAATCATGCCCAAGGTACAATAAGGTACACCATTCACATGTTCCAAATCATAAAACGTACAAAGTGATGTATGGTGAAAAGTCTCCCTCTTAGCCTTGTCCCCGGCCTAGGTCTCCGCCCTGGAGGCAGTGGATCGGATTCTTCTGCCCTTTCAGAGCCGGTCCAGGCACTGCTGCGTTCTCTTTTAAAATAATCGCAAGGCAATGAACTGGGCTGTCGCTGTCTTCCAGGCTCCCGGGATCCTCCACGGCTGGCTCAGGCCCCCACACGGGGCCAGTACATGTGCAGAGAGGTGGCAAAGCTCCCTTGGGCACGGAGAGTTACCTGACCCCTCAGCCTCACCACTGCCTCTGTAAAGTGGGCGACTAATCCCCCTCTTGGGCTGTTGTAAGGACTAAAAGCAGACCCGGAAAAGCGCCCTGGTCTCTTAGCTGCCACCACCCTGAGGTTATCAGGAGCAGCTTCCTGCTCACTCGGTCCCAGCGAATGGAAAACTCTGCAGAGCTGATGATTAACCAAGTCCTTCGCCCTAGGTCTGAGGACTTTTGAAATAGCTTGGGGGCAGGGAGTGCTGGGATTGAATCCGGCTGTGCCCTTTGCACTGTTACGTCCTTAGCATTTTTTTTTTCTTCTTGAGACAAGGTCTCACTAATTTGCTAAGTTGCTCAGGCTTGGTTTAAACTTACCATCCTCCTGCCCCAGCCTCCCAGAGTGCTGGGATTACAGCATGCGCCATGACACCCAGTTCAGGAAACCGCTTTGGAGTCCTGACTCTGCACCGCTGGGGCCTCGTGAAGCGACCCTCTTCTCACCCGAGCTCTGCACAGATTAAATGGTTCTTCCTGAGACCCAGGCCCTGGCGGCTACGCACACCCCTGCCTCCTGCACAGGCATCAGGGAGCCTCTCACTCAGGCAGCACTGGCTGGGGGAATCCGGATGGTGGGTGGAGTTCCTCTCTGCACACTTTTACATGACACTTGGATGAGACAAAATTCCTCAAAGCCAGCAAACTTAAGTTCTCCAAAATTAGCACATATATTCAGTGATCTTGAGTTCACTTTTATCCTTACTGGAATTAAACCTGTCACACTGAGCAAGAGGTGCGGCACCCCTTCTGCCAAACCCCAGTTTACCGACATCAAAAGGATTGAGAAATGACCATTAGTAACCAGTGCAGGGCTATAAAGCGGTGGATGGGCAGAGCTAGTCTAGGACCCTTCCAACGCAGGGAGCTCAGAGCCGATATTAGCAAAAGAGCAACTGTCACGTTAACCCTGCCGTTTTCAGAGCCACTTCCAGGATCCAGGAGGTGGAAGGGGATTTGGTACTCAGCAGAGGTTTCCCAGGAGCAATACCCCTCCCTCCCTCTCTCTCTCTTTCTCTCTCTCTCTTTCACACACACACACATACACACACACACACACACACACATACACACACCTTCAGCATTTGGACTCCATTCTGCAAAACAAGCCACAGAGAGAAAAGAGAATGGGTTCTTTATCTATTTTTTAAATAAATTTGAGGAGTTAGAGAGCACAGCTGCCTCTGATAATGGTATTGAATAAAAATATCTCTTAGCAAGCTGAAGTTGTCCTAAATCAATTTTTAATGAGTCTGCTTTTTTCTTACTTAGTATTCGTAATTTAATAACTCTGTGAGAATTGCTATTGAAACAAGAAAACCGAACATTTTCTAATTTGTTCTCTGGAAGATTTATCTGTTCATCAACTGTCTTCATCCTCACTGTACTTAAAGGGGGCGTTTAAAGTGACATTCCCAATGACTCTAGATCACCTTTGAGTTCCATTGTCTTTTCAAACTGATGTCTGAGGTGACTCTCTTCTTGAAAGCAGAGCTGTTTCAGACAGGGGTGTAGCTCAGTGGCACAGCGCCTGCCTGGTACGCACAAGGTCCTGGGTTCAACTCCCAGTATTGGGGGAAAAAAAAAAAAGAAATCTTGAGGGGAATTTTGGGAGACTCTCCCTTGGAGTTCACAAGCGTCAGTCAATGAACACTGAGGAGCTGTGTGCCCCCGGCTGGGTGCTGGTACGGGATGCACACAGGTGCCCCTTTGTGTCAGTTCCCTTTTGTCCCCCACTGTCCCCTCTCACTGTTTGATCCCAACTACATCTGTGGCGGCACCTTGAGCTCCAGGACCTAAAACCTTCCCAGGCACCAGCCGCGGAGATCCCTGACATCAGTCCCTGCCTCAGAGAAGCCAGAGGCGCTGCCACGGGTGATGCCCTACTTGGTGTGAGCAAAGCTCTCCAGGATGACCCGTTGTGTTTATGTAACAGACGCTCACATGTATTTACCTCGGGCCAGGCCTGGTGCCGGGGAGGGCTTTACCGATATTAATTATTTACCTTCACAGTAATTTACCTTGATGCGTACTATTCTCATCCCTTTGCACTGGTGGGGAAACTGAGGCACGGGGCCAGGCTGTAATTCCCCCAAGTTGCCGCAGCCAGTCAGTGTCAGTACCAGGTTCTGAGCCCAGGTACTGTCTCTCTGTAGGGCTTAGACTCCAACCACTGGGCAACACTGCCCCCAATTCAGAGGCAGCTGATTAAGACCGTCTGCGAAAGGAGAGTGCCAGGGACACGCTGAGGTAGGACTTGGGCACTCCAGCACACACAGCAGGCAGGAGCGAGGAGCCCACGGGGAGGAGGGGTTACCAGCCGTGGTTCTGGGGGGCTTGAGCTGGCTCCAAGAACCCAGCCAGGCCAAGCAGCAAGAGGCAGAGGAGGAAGACAGCCGAGAGGGCAAAGTGTGGGCAGGACAGTGCGGTGCGGCACCCGCACGCCGGGGAAGACCTTGCCACCCCTGCTGCACAGGCCATGACAGCGGAGAGGTCCCACAGCCAGCCAGGCGCTCAGGGACAAGTGGGACAGGCACAGGCCAGCTCGGCCAGCACCCCTTCCTCCAGAGCCACTGGGCCACCTGCCGTGGACCGCATGAAAACTTGCACGCCGAGGCCCACGTAGCAGACGTCGGAGGGCATCGACATTGTACGGATGGGCACACTGGCACCCAGGGGTGTGCCATAGCACAAGCCTCTCCCCTTACCTCCACAATCGATTCATCCAGGGAACCAGCTCCCACACGGCTTCCTAGAAGTGGGTGCCAGTGAGCGCTTTAACCCCGCATAAACTTCTTCCCTCTGCCCGGGCACCCTGCCGCCTCTCCTGCTGCTGCTCTTGCACTGCTCTCGTTTGGCTGGTGTTTCCTCCTCCCTCTCCCTCCGCTCCACCTGGACAGGGCTCACCCAGAGCATTGCTGGCAGCGCCCAGGCCGAGCATGGCGTGAGCAGCTGCCCTGGTTTTCCTGGGACTCGGGGTTTCCAGTGTGCAGGACTTGGGATACCAAATCAGGTCGGCCCCACGCAAACCGGGATGGCTGGTCACCCGGGTCAGCACCTCTCTGATTGCCTCTGCTTCCTGCCAGCCAGCGAGTATCCCTCCTCTACCGGAGACACGGCTCCTCAAGACAAGGTCCCCACCGGGCAGACAGTGTGGCTGGCAGGACCAGGTGTGCAGCCGATGTTCGTGGCCTGCACAGCACACACTGCGAGGCACAGAATCAAAGCAACCTCGGTAGACAACAGCTCTCGGGTCCCAGCAGACGGACAGGACAGGCAACACGTCCGAGGGCACCCGAGCAGGAGCACATGGGCCCAGCCTGTGGTCTGGAAAACCTGCGCCTCGGCCCGCGGGAGCCAAAGAAGTTTCATTTGCCCGCGTTGGGTCGGGGGAACCCGGCACGGACGCAGAGCTCCAGCTAGGGAGCCGGACACCGAACCAGGGGTCAGGCCCAGAGCGGGGGACACATGCACAGGGACTGTGGAGCCAGGCCCGCCGTGTGGTCCCTTCTGTGGGCATCTTGCTGCAATGAGGACACTGAGGATGCTTCCCGTCTCTCTCTAGCGCTGCCCCGACCTCAGGGAAAGATCTTCACCTGACGCCCAGAAGCCCCACGCTGGACTCGTGCTCAGACCCTCACGGCTGCTCTGGTGTCCATAGGTGCTGAGTTCGGAGCCCTGTGACCGCTTGGTCCCTAGAGTCGGAGCCCTGGGTTCGAGCTCTGGCTGTACCATTTGGAGGCAAAGCGATCCTCAGTAGGTGAACGACCTCCCCTCGCAGGATTCGCTCCCCCCAGGTGTGAAGGAAGCTCGCGCCTGTCCCTCACGGGCTCGGGTGCTGAGGAGCAGGAGGCACGTGCTCAGGAAACCAAAGCTATTATTTTTAGTAGTGGTAACAGCACGGTTTTCGTGGGGCCCCTGAAACAGGGCCACCGAGGGGGGTGCGCCGGCAGGTTTCCGAGGCAAAAGGCAGCCCCTCAACAAACGCTTCCAGGCGGCTCAGCCCCGCAAACTGACCGCGTTTCTGTCTCCCGGATCTCAGCCCCATTACACTAGCTCCTACCTGACAGTCTTGCTCTAGAACAGTAAGCCTCAACAAGCCGACTAATTATAGCGCTTCCCGGGCACACACCGCCAGTCAGCAGCCGCTTTCTCGGGAGCTGGGACTGAAATAAATGGGCAGTTAGCGGGTTTTATAGGATTTTCTTCCCCGCTGCCCTCCAGTGCCTCTGACGCATCACCTGGATCACACAGCTGCTCTGAGGACATCGAGCCGAGTGCTGTGGGGGCCCGTGGCTGCACCACGGAGTCCTGTTGCCCTAGCCGGGGCCCTGGGCAGCTTGCTCCCCTCTTCCGGTCCCAGTTTCCTGGCAGGTAAAGTAAGGCGACAAGGTGACTCAATTCCTAAGGCTCCTTCTAGCTCAGGAGCTCGGCGGTTCGTGTCCACAGTGCAAGCGGCAGCTGAATTACACATGGCCGTATGCCTCCCTCTCCTCGTCCCTGCCATTCACCAAGAGCTACTTATGAAGGCCTTTGGGCCCTGGGTGTCCCGCCAGGTGTGTGGAAGGGCCCCTCTTGTGCCCGCACTGTCTCTGCAGCCGGTAGGAACGCCCTCACCCTCAGAGTTAGGCTCCCTGGAGATGCGTAGGCCCAAGCCCTATCTTGTCTATCTCTGCCAGGAATCCTTGGCAGGGGCCTCTCTGACCCATCCCTTGTCTAAACTGTGTCAGAGAAACAAAGCTCAGGTTTGGGTCTTCACCATAAAGGGTCCAGTCTTGGGGTAAAATGACAGCACACAGGAGCAAGTGTCCTCCCCTCGCAGATTCCTTTTCAAGGTACCTGAGGGTTCCTCCCCGAGGGCTGCACCTCTGTGCACTCTCACAACCCAGGGATGATTCCCTGGGGAGAGAAACAAGACATAGGGGTCCCAGTTGTATCGTTTGCGAGAAGAACTTCACCTTCATGTCTGGTTTTGTCACCTGCAAAATGTATACGATACTGACGGCTCCCTGGTAAAGCCGTTTGGGACCAAAGGCACTGTAAACTGCCAAAGTCACACCTGGGCTTCTCTTGGCCTTCTATTTTAGAACACCAGGTAGACAATAATATCTGCCCCTTACAGACACAGATAACATCTCTGTTAGCTATAGGGATGGTTACCTCTGTAATAGAATCTGAACACCACTCAACACTGTCACCTCTCCAAAACTATCTTCCCTCCGGCCTGAAATTCAGCTGTTTAGGATTCAAGGAGGCAGGCGGCAAGGGTTACAAGCTTCTCGCATTCAGCAGCACTGTGTTAAGTAGCTTTTTCAGCGATGACCTACTAATACTAGGAAGAAAAATTACACTCTCTGGGCCCCTAATGTGCCCCAGGTGCTTTGTGATACTAAATTCTTTTTTTAATCCAAAACTGATCTGAGACAAGGGCTACGGTTCAATGCATCTTTAAAACCGAAAGAATGAGTCTCGAGCAGTTTAGGAAACTCCTGTCAAAGGGCCGCAGGAGTGACGGAGTGGGGACGTAACCCCAAGTAGGTGGGGAGGGGGCAGGTGCAGGGTGACCAGAGAGGGACTTGAAGGGCAGCGGACTGCTGCCAGCGGCCCACGGCACGCTTAACTTCTGGCCCTGTCCCCCCCTCAAAGACCCTAGAGGTTTCTGCCAGAAAAGAAGTAAAGAACATTGGTGCTGTTCGTTTTCTGAAATCCCGTGTCCCCTCCAGCTAACCTGGAAATATTATTCAGGGGCCCTTGAATGCCCCCGTGGTGGCTGAGTGGGCGGGCGGGCATCACAAATACTTGGCCCTGGGAGCCTGCGGGAGCCAGCTGCTCACCGGATAATCACCCCATCTCCTCACCTTGGGAGGGAGTCAGCGCCCCTCTCCAGATCTGGCCCATCACGCTAGCAACACTTGTATTTTTAGAAAGTGTTTATCCCCGATAATCTCACGACCTCTAACTGCCACTCTGCAGATGACGATAAATGACACAGCGTGAAATATGGAGACACGCTCCTTCTCTCACCCAATCTCGGTGACCCCAGGTGGGCGTGGGCGAAGCCCCTGTGCGTCCTGAGCAGCACCAAAGGGGGGTGGCGGCACAGGTGTGAGCCGTGGCCCGGTTCTGACGATCGGCTGGCTGCCGACCGACCGGCTGTTAGGGGCAGGAGAAACGCACACAGTTATCCAGGGCCCAGAGCTAGGGCGCGAGGATTACAGTCTCACCGGGGAAGCCGGCCCAGCTCACCTGCTCTGGAAGGGGAACCCAGGGACCAGGGGAAGGAATGGAGTTTGCAGGGGCTTCTGGATTGGAGCCTGGAAGTCATTCTCAAATTTATGTAACATCTGAGGGCAAAGTAACAAAAGCACTCTTGAAGGACAGGTGCAAAGAGCCCCCTCCTGACTTCAGCTCTGACAGCCACGCCACCACCGGAGGACAGACGTCCTGCCCACACCACCCTGCCTGGCTGCAAAGAACACCCGAAGCTCGCAGGGCAGAAACGGGCGCCTCAGGAAGTCATCAGTGCTGCTGAGCAGAAGGGAGATGTGACAGTGTCTTTGTCCCAGAGTCCCCCAAGCCCAGGGCTTCCACAAGACATCCAGAGTTCTAACCCTTGCTCTAAGGAGCTCTAACATCGTGGGCAGGTCACTCCACGCCAAGCCTCAGTTTCCCGGCTTGGAAAGTGGGACTAATAACACGACGGTGGCTGTGAAGTTGGAGAGGCAAAATGACATAAAGGTGCCTGGCAGACTTCCTGCTGCAGTGAGTTGACACTGTCCTGTCTGCCCCCACCCGTTCCCAACACCAGGGCGCTTGTGACAGACTCCTAAGTGGTGTCGCTGCTCAATACCAGGGCCGGGGCCAGCAGGACAGGGTTTGCTAAGGCAGGGAGCAGGCGCAGCGAGCCAGGCCTCTGGGGAACCTGCCGTTCGTTCCGCATGCTACACCGGCTGCGGATGTCAGCCTTGGAGCGCTAAGACAGCGCAGGGCTGCTGATCCAGGGACAGCTCAGTGGTGCCAGAAGTGCCACCTGCCACGTGAGTCACATCGATCCTTCCGGGCTGCCACGGACCTGGGGGTGGGGAGGCCTCCGCCTGCACTTTCACAGGCGGCCCGGAGCTGGGGCCTGCCCTGAAGCTGCAGCTCTGACCCAGTTGGACACCTTGACGCGGTCCCAGCAAGCAACAGAGCGTTCATTGTTCAGCCTGCCCTGGCACAGAGAGGCTCGGTCTTGGCCAAGTGCAGAGGCACCACCCCCTCTGGCAGCAGGGCGCGGTGCCCCAGCCCTTCCCCTAGAAGCACGCTGCCCTCCGCACGCTGACCTGCAGCCACTTGGAATCTCAGCCCCGGAAAGATCCTCGGGCCCATCCGCTCCCTTTGTGCAGGGCAGGTCGCAGAGGTCGGCCGTGCGTGAAGCCTACCCAGTGCTCTCTGCTAGGACCCTGGAGACTACACGCGCTTTATTATTACAGCTGGAATAGATCAAGGTTACCACATGAGATTGCTGTTATACATAGGGAGCTATGATAGAAACATACTCTCATCACTTTCCTCTTGCTATGCGGCAGGTCTGTGCTAAGCATTCCCCAATTTTGGGGAGGTCCTGGGGGGTGACTTTGGTTTTGGTTTTGGTTTTTTGAGACAGGGTCTTGCTATGTAGCCCAGGCTGGACTTGAAATCACTACAAAGCCCAGGCTGGCCTCAAACTCTCCTTGATTCTCCTGCCTCAGCCTCTCCCAGGAGCGCCATCCCATTCTTAAACTCTCCTCCGACAAACATATTAGGTAGCAGCGACATCATTTCCTCCCATTTCGTAGAGAAGGACAATCCAGAAAGGCTGGCTTATTGCCGAAGACCACAGTCCATAAAACCCAGATTCCCCCTCAGGGTGGCCTGGCCTCAGTCCTGTTCTCTCGGCTGCCACCGTCCAGTGATAAAGTTCTAAGAAACCAAATCTAGGGCCTTGGAAATCTGCTCTGCCCCACACATGTGGCTCCATCCTAACGTCACGGGTGCCTGAAGTTCATTTGTGTGTTCCCTTATTTTAGAGGCTTGTTTTCTCCTTGAATGCAAGCAGAACGGGGCGGCGGTCCCCAAGGGGATGCTGGAGCGGGAGGTGCCCCAGGCAGACGAGCAGTGCACGTCACAGTCTGCATTCCCCTGGTGACCCTCTCAGCTCTGCGTCTCTTCCATCCCTCCCACCACCCAGAGCTTTCACACTGTCAAAGAAAGAGAGCTGACTTCATAACCAAGCTCATAACAAGGGTGCTTCCCACACGCCCGCCCACGTCATCATCAGAGCGAAAGCACCCATTGCCACATCAGGGCTTTCTTAGCAAAATACACTTGGCAGGAGGAGGCCGCTGGGAGGAGTTCCCTCCACCGCCACACCCTGCCCACTCTGCCCTCACCCAGCCCGCCCGTGTCAGCTGGCTTGGCCCGGCATCTGCTACTGTGGATCTATCCTATCGCTGTCCAACTTTAGTTCCACTAAAATTATGTCACAAAACTGGGGCACCTCAGAGAACCGAAGTAAACAGACCAGCAATAAAGTTTCCATATATGCTTGACCCACATTTGAGCCCGGCCCGAAAGGCATACATTAGACTTTATGGTTTGCAATTTATACCAACTGATAGACAGACAGACAGGTGATAGATGGATACATGGATGCATACATACATACATAGGGCCACACATAAAAAGCTGAGTAGAAGCATTCCGGTTCCCTGGAAGGATGCTTCCGGCGCACAGGGAGCTGTGGGCGGGGAGCGCCAGCCTTCGGGCTGGTTAGCTTTCTGCCTGCCGGCTCCCGGAGGGTGGGCCCCCAGCGCACGGGGAGCC